TTATTATTATTATTATTATTATTATTATTATTATTATTATTATTATTATTATTATCACTATTATTATTGGAAAACTGCACAAAGCGACTGTTTATTTTTTGTACAAGGTCACAAACATTTTTGGCTGTCAGATTTCAAATCGGATGATTGTAATAGTGTCATTGACTAGACTTAAAGTTCAAAAAATATTTCTTAAACTTTGTGACACACCCCAAACCATCTAATATGACATCTAATGGCTAAGAATGACTCTGACATCTTTGTAACATAGATAAACGTTCTCATTGTATACAATCTCACTAATATTAAATGAGTGATGATAATATGAGACCCTCCCACACCTATGTTAGTAGGATCACAAAGGATCACCATTAAATTTTGACATATATCTCTGAAAAAGTTATCAATAAATCCATTCATCCAAGTTCCACACCTATGTGATAACTTTTTTAGATATCTGTGTCAAAATTTAATGGTGATATTATGAAGTCCTATTCACATAAGGACTGTCCACCAAACCACCATATCTTACTCACCCGAACAAAATGGGGTTGCCGAGAGAAAGAATAGGACACTAGTTGAGATGGTACGAAGTATGATACGTATCGTTAATCTTGGATTAGAGTTTTGGGGGGAGACGATTCTAACCGTCACATATGTCTTTAATTAGACTCCCACTAAAGCAATTCAATCAACTGCTTATCAACTCCTCATGGGCCGACCTCCCTCAATAGCACCTCAAGGTTTGGGGAAGTTCAGCCCATGTTCTCATACCATCCCAAACTAAGTCCAAACTTGATCTTAAAACCATAAAATGCGTTTTTATAAGATACCCAAGTCATGAGAAGGGATTAAGGTTTTATATCCTCTTGAATCGTAATATGATTGAAAGCCTCAATGCCCACTTCCTTGAAGATGAATTCCATGAGAGAGAATCAACCAAAAAGAGAGTAGACTTCCATGAGCTTCAGCCTAACAAAGAAATTGAAACCATCCCACTTAAGCGAAGTGAGAGAATAAGGAGACCACCTACCTTTTTCACCTACCTTGAGGAGGACTATGAGAGGATTAGTGAAGAACCCGATGATGAACCTTATTCTTATCTACATGCTATGTCTTGTCCGGATCATAAGTTATGGAAGGAAGCCATGCAAGATGAGATAAACTCAATCATAAAGAACCATATATGAAAGTTAGTCTGATTACCACATAACCTTAGATCCATTGGATGTAAGTGGATATTAAAAAAGAAACTTATCTCCGAAGGGCATATTGAAAAATACAAGACAAGACTTGTAGCGAAAGGTTTTACTCAAAAGGAAGTGGTAGATTATTTTGACACTTATTCATCTGTTGCCAAAATGTTTTCAATTAGGATATTCATATCCATAGCAACCTACTTTGACCTAGAATTGCATCAATGGATGTGAAAACCGCCTTCTTAAATGATGACCTAGAAGAGGATATATACATGAACCAACCCAAGGGTTTTATTATGAAATGAAAGGAAACGTTCATGCAAAAACTTAACAAATCACTTTATAGTCTCAAACAAGCTTCAAGAAGATGGTTCCTCAAATTCCGCCAAACCTTGATTAGATATAGATTCAAACCAAATGAAGATGACCATTATGTATACCATAAGACCAGTGGGACTAGATTACTTTCATGACTTTATATGTGGATGTCATTCTAATAGCTAGTAGCACCCTAGACCATATAAGGGACACAAAGGCAACGCTATCAAGTAATTTTGATATGAAAGATATGGGAGAAGCTTCGTATGTGTTAGAGATTCATATTATAAGAGATAGAGCAGCCCACACTATTCAACTATCTCAATCTACATATTGCAAGAAAGTTCTTAAGAGATTTGGTATGAGTGAATCCAAGCCTATAGATATACCTGTGGAAAGGAGAGGAAAACTAAATGTCAATATGAAACCAAACAATAATCTTGAGGAAATGATCCCCTATCGGAGTGCCATAAGATTAGTAATATATTTAACCATAGGAACTAGACCTGATCTAGCTTTTGCTCAAAGATTGATTCGTCGATTCTAAAGTGATCTTGGATTAGAACATTGGAAAGTCGTGAAAAGAATCATAAGGTATTTGAAAGGAACATTTGATTATGGATTAACCTAAGGCAATGTAAGTGAGCTTAAAGTTGTTGGATACACAAATCAGGGGGTGGTCATTTCTTGGCGTACCAAGAAGCAAGACCTTGTAGCCCTATCAATCATGGAAAGCGAGTATATGGCCTTAAATTTCGCAACTTTAGAAGCCATTTGGATTAAGAAGTTTTTGAATCATCTTAACTACAAACCCTTTAAAACATGGAACTATTAGAATCATGTGTGACAATCAAGCTGCAATAGCAGTGGCAGTTGAACCAAGGTTCCACAACAAGTCAACGCATATTAAAGCTCAATATCATAGAGTAAGAGAAGAGAGAGCAGCTGGTGAAGTAGAAGTTGGTTACATTTCATCTGAGGCTATGCATGCAGATCCATTAACCAAAGGCTTGGGGACAAATGACTTTGTGAGGCATGTGTATGGGATGGGTTTAAGGAGGTTGACATAGTTGCTATTACTTTGCCTATTGTTTGTGAATGATAAATCCATAGATGAGTATGCATGCTTTGATTTATTGTGAACCATAATGAGAGGGATATATATATATATACGAATTCAGGCCTCAAAAGGTTAAGTGGGAGAATGTTGGAAATATGACATATCAAGGCCTAAATTCCAGTAGTCTCTCATTCAGTAGGAGCGATTGAGAGATTGAAATCTTGACGTTTTGTGAAATGGAGCCAATATTATTTTACCTCGAGTACGCATGAGGCATCGAGAGTTCACGTATTAAGAAAGTAATTTCTCAAGGAGATGTGAGGGTCACCTCCTAGTCAGGATTTTATAGGTTAGCCTCATGTTTAGCTACAATCAACCAAGGCTTAGAGAATCCAAACGAGAAAAATAGAACCCGAGTACTTATTGAACATTGGCCCTGTATGGAATGGTCAAGACTTATGGGACATAAGTCTGTATTCTGACATGAGACCATTGCATGGCATGCACATTTCATTTCGTACGGGAAGCCACTCTTCCAAATGCATTATCCAAGTTTGGAAGAGTCAGTGTACATGTGCTTTGAGAGAACCCCTGTAATTGAGTTAGATAATTTCCCATAGGGCACATTTGTAATCAATTGAGAGCCGAATGATCGGAAGTTCTGGCTCAGTGGCTTTGATATAACCAATTATGTGCCCTTATTTTAGACTGTAGAACATAAGTCTATTGGGTCAATCTGAGACACGACGGAACATCATTCGAGACTAGCCCAATGGAGTACTCTAATACCTATAGTTATTAGCCTGATATCTCACTATATATTTTATCTAACTTTATAATGATGAGAAAAACCTAATAATTGCTCAAAAGCACTTTAAATATTTATTGTGAATTTTAGATACTTTTTCAGAATTTTATTTGCTAAAAAATGAGGGTTTTCAAACATGTGGCATCCGAGTGGCTATAGGGCTGTCACATGGCACCCTACACCCCACTCTAGGATCACCGCCCAACTGAGTGCTGATCCTTAGGCGAGGGACTAGATTGGCATTTGGTTGCTTGTTTTATAAGGGGTTGTATTACGGTGTCTTGTTATATATTACTATATTTTGTTATATAATGTTATAAATTAAGGCCCCATTTTTATCACATATTTTAATTAACTAGCACATGGGTCATGCATGGCATGTGTGAAGTTTAATTAATTAATTTATTTGATATTAAAGCGAAAATACATTTTCAAATTTGAGTTGAAAAATATTTTCACACACATGTATGAAGGGGACATTTGGCTTTGATAAAATAGAATATCTCCACATATATGAGATTTACCAATTACTTATTTGCCCTTTACCCTTTGTGGTTATCTACTCTAATACATTATTAAAAAAATTAAGGGTAGTTTTGTAATGCCATATTGGATATAATTGGAACAAAAACATGGACCAATGACAAAATGGTAAAGTGGCATAACTTAGGTTTAGAGTGAGTGATAATGGTGTGATATCACATCCTTTCATCCTAGTGGTTGGATAGGGATGGGTGGCTAGGTACATTAGCCTCTCATGTGCCTTTGGATTAGTGCATCAAGGGTGTTGATTGAGTCCAATGTTATACCCATGTTATAAAACACATCATGAGATCTCAAAACCTAACTATCTCAACTCTTGAACCATTTTGAAAAATTGTTGCTTCCCTCTTCTTTTAAGGTTTTGTGAGATAAATTTGAAGAGAGAGAGCTTTTAAAGTTTCATTAATGATGATCTTGATGGTGGTCCTCCTTTCTTATGTTTAAGTCCATAATGTGTATTTATCAAGGTAAATTCCATTGAATTTTTTTTCACATAAGATCATATTCTTGGCATCTATAATTGTTGGAGTTCTGAATTTAGAAAAGTTTTATTGATCTTAGAATTTCCATTTGATCATATTTTTCATCATGCTTATTTATAGTGTAGTCCTTCGTGAGTTATAGCCTATATGGGTGTAAAAAAGTCTCATAGTGTCATTACTCATATTAAATATTATATATGATATAGCGCAGAAATGCAATGAGTATAGCCATGACTACTGCTGCTTAGTTGATTGAGAAAGAAATGAAAGTAGGTGGATGAACAAGAGCCTAATCATACGTTTATTCTTCTTATAAATAAAACGCCTTTTTTGGGTTTCTCTTCTTCTTATAAATAAAATCCATTTTTTGGGTTTCTCTTTTCTTGTCCTTTTTTCGTTTCTTTTCCTTTTTTAATTGTTTTAATTTTTAACATTTAAGAGCTGATTAGATGGCGATTAGCAACAAGTTTTGTTTAAGTGCCAAAGCTCCGATCTGTGTTGATTTCTGAGATGAAATTTGCTTAAATCTTAATTAAGAGTTCTTTAGCCAAATTTTCGAGAGCGTGTCTACGAGCTTAAAACACGAGGACTCACGACAGAAGGCCGAAACACTCCAGCACTTTCTTAGTATTCATATAAACTTCTCAGCAAACATCAAAACAAAAACAAAATCTATCCTTCTTCTGTTCTATCAAAAAACAGAAAAGATAACAAAAGGCCCTATACATGTGAGCCTTGCATTATTGTTACTCATTTAAACCTCAAAACCCCAAAAAAGAAGACCACCAACTAATTCTTCTGGTTTTCTCTCATAGATTTAGCCTCCTCAACTCTATGTACGTTTCTCCGCTTAGCGAACACGCGGTTCAGGCTCGATACTTTATGCGATTGTTGAGCAATTACATTGGCGGTGGAGGGGCTCTCAGCCATTATAACCTCATAGCCATCTCTAAAATTATCCATATCTTTATCTAAAAGCTGCCAAAATAAACCACCAGCACCAGCTCCACCGCTCCTTGCTGATGTATAAATGCTATTATATACTGCTGCAAATAATGTATCCCTAAGGCCTGGAGTGTAGCCCTGGGTCTTGGAGGACTTTCCAAATTCAGTGAAAAGCATAGGCTTTTTGAGCACTGTGTTTGAGTCTTCTATGTGGGCTTGGACCCAGCTTTGAAGGAAAGAGAGCTGCGCTTGGTCACTGGAGCCAGATATCCTGCAAGAGAGGAAAGTGACCAAGAGTTGCAATTTAGGTTTCCAGAGTTAGAGAAGAGGGGGGGGGAAGCGAAAGAGAATGGAACCATGTAAATTCACTGTAAATTTATGGTACCATTGATCAGGGTATGCATGGATTGTAGCGAAATCGATGCCAGGAATCTGATTGTTGGAGATGAAGTCAGTGCCCACTTTGTAGCCAGGGTTGAATTGCTCCCTTTGAGGAGATGAGTCTCCATAAAATCCTTCCAAACCTGCTTCTAGTAGATGGTTGCTATCCAGGCTCTTAACATGAGCAGCCATTTCTGTGATCCATTCCTGTATTGGGAGAGAGAGAGAGGAGAATTGTAATGAAACTTCTCACAATTGATGGGACTAGATAGATAACAGAGAGAAAGGTATGGTGGTCTTCTGTTGTAGCATGTTATGATATCCAAACTAGTGTACAAATAATAGAACATATTGGCATTTAGAGGTCTAGCATGGATTACAATTTGGGCCAAAAATATGGGTTTCTTCATAAATTAAGCTCAATTACCGGGCCTGTTACTCGGCTTGGACTCGCTAGAGTAAATCGCCTCTTCCAAGGCCCGAATACGAGTCGATTTTTTGAACACTGATTACCTCCACTGGCAAATTAATGGATATATGACAGCACTTACCCAAAAAATATATGGGCATGTGACTTGGCCAATAAATTGTGAGAGAGAGAGAGAGAGAACCTGCACAGGTCGTCCAGATAGATCAGTTTGGCAGCGAGGTTCGTTCATGAGCTCCCACGCAAAAATGGTGGGGTCGTCCTTATATGCCACACCACTCATACTATTCACCCTAGAAATAACACTCTGCAACAAAAGGAAACACAACAGTGGTATCATACTAAAGATTAAACAAAATCACTCTCTGCAAGAAAAAAGGAAAAAAAAAACAAAGCAAATTGATGTTTTCTCAAATGATTTCAAATACCAAGAGTTAGAAACAGAGTAACAGAAAACCAAAGTGTAAGAGAAATGAATTAATGAGCCAAAAATAAGAGACTGTGAGAAAAATAGATTGACAAAAAAAAGGAGAGAACTATCATACAAAAAAGGAGGATCCACATTTTACAAAGCGAAGACAACTCCGGTTTTATTCTCTGCAGATGCATCCAGGGGATTTCAACGAGAGAGAGAGAGGCTACATGGTATTATTTCAATCATTTCCAGCAACAATTGGCTGTTTCATTCTCTGCAGATGCATGCAGGGTTTTCAACTAGAGAGATAGATTCGCATTACCTGAACATGGTTCTTGTAGTAACCTTTAACAACAGGGTTTGTGTAAAAATCATCGTCAGAGTTCAAAGACTGGCCCTGGTTCCTGGCCCACTGCACGTACTGAGGCCTTCCTCCAAGGTCTTTGTAGTTGTTCACAAAACTCAATATCAAACGTACGCCATATCTCCTAGCCTCTGAAATCACAAAATCCAGCCCCTGCCAAAAAACCCACATCTCATCAAGCTCAAAAAAAAAAAAAAAACTCAACAAAAAAGAGCAACTAATACGAGCAATTTTCCATGAATATTGCGTTAAGGTGAAGAAATAGGGGACTTGTTGATTAAAATTTACCTTGAACATATCTTCATTATAGGAACCAGGAGAAATTTGCAGAGGCCTGTAACCTCCATCACTGAAAGCCCAAGTTCTTGCTACAGTTAAGCCATAGCTTGAAGCTTGTTGAAAAACAGAGGTTACTTTACCCCTGGTTGAAGGGTCAGAGGCCATTTGCGTCAACCAGTAAGCATTGAACCCATTAACATAGAAAGGGGAACCATTAACCATGAAATGGGTTCCTCTGGTTTTCACAAAACCACTTTGAGCTAAAGCAAGGTTTGCCTGGTTTTGGAATACCAGAAAAGCGAGGAAAACAACACAAATAAGCTTGTGTTCAGTGAGCCTGAACATTTTGATTCCTTAGAAAACAAAACCCTTTTCGGATAAACTCGAAAACCAGAAAGAGATTTGATGAATGGCCTGGTTTTGAGAAAGTGGGTATCGGTTTTCTATTCAATAATGAGGCAGCATTTGATTTAAATTGATATTACAAAACCGAAAAGAAAAGGGGGAACTGATTCTCTCTCTAACTTCAAAAGGATTAACAGATTATGAAAGAAAGAGATATTCTCTCTCTCTCAAGAATGCAGCTTCAACGTTTCGGAAACGCAAGGAAGAGAGAGAAAGAGGAAAGGAGAGCTTTACACAGGCTTTGTGGATGTGATGAACAGTCTCTGCTAATGGGAACATTATATAGAGAGAAAAAGCCTGCTACGGACCTGGGACTACCCGCTTTTCCCTGCAGGTTTTCATGTATTAAATGAGATAGCCATGAAAAGAAGAGAGACAGAGCTTGAGATGTCGCATTTTAGAGAGAGAGAGAGAGAGATAGCACCGAAAAATGCAGAGAAATGTGGATCAAAGAGTAAGGAGAGAAGATGGGTGATGCTCCATTTCTGAGAATTCAGTTGGGTTTTTTTGAGTTTTTCTGATCCTGGATTCCTGTTGAGCAGTTAATTTGCAACATCATCATTATCATCACAGTTCATAAACTGACGACCTTTTTCTCTCTTCTTCTCATTTTTTCCTTTTTCAGGCCTCTGTTTTTCACATTAATTTTCTTTTATTTGGGAATTTTCATAGCAACAATGTTTTATTACTGGAGGAGAAAACCAATGTAGAAGAGGACGATTTTCAAGTAACCAAGTGGCCTTAAAACTGGGGAAACGAAAAAGAAAAAGCAGCAAATTAAGGACGTTGGTTTCGATGAACTTTTCTTTTAATTCCAACGGGCAACATTTTGTGTGGACCACAATGGCCCATGAGGGTCCCATTCACCCTCTCAACCGTTATTTTCTAACCTTAATAATCTCGCCTTTGTTTTTTTCTCTCTTTATTTTCTTTTTTCTCCTATAAGCTTGTGGTTTGTTGTGAGGGTGTATATACTATGCTTTCTGATCACCTACTTGGGATGAATTTTCAATCTGAATTTTTAGAAACTACTTAAAAATTATTAGATGATTATTCTAAAAGAAAGGAATTTGAAAATTTGAGCAGTTTTCTTATACTTATCTCACCATCTAACAATTGGATGATCACTATTTAGTCTCTAAGACATTATTTTTTTCAAGTGTATAGAACATTCAGTTAGGGAATCTTTTTTGTTGATATTAACCTATAAATTAATTATATTTAATCTATAGATTTAAGAGATTACATCCCCAAAATTTGGGGTCCTAGAAATATTTCTAAGCAGGTCTTACGAATGGAGTAAATGAACATTGTACTCCCGAGGGAGTAGAATATATTTTGGGGAAGTGGTTGCAACCCATTTCCATATAAGACAAAGAATTAAGAGCGGCGTATAATATTGTTTTGGTAAGAATTAATGAAGTCATATCAACCGTATAAACCACCTCTGCTCTGAGAAATTAACGAAAATACCACCTCTCTTTACTGCCGCTACTTCTTGAAACTCAGCCGCGTCAATGGCATTCTTGTAAGCCGAGGCACTAAACAATCAAAATAAAGCACAATCAAATAGTATTGAGAAATGTGGTTCCAATATTGAAAATATTTATGATAACTTCAAAATATATATATTTTTTAATTATAAAATTTAAATATTAAAAAATAATGCAGATTGAGTAGATAAGTGAAAACATGAAAATCTTAAAAATTGACGGTCCAAAAAAGCATTATATGATACACTATTTTCAAAACTTGATATCTATTTTTTTCTCATGTCCATGCACCTTGATGTTGAGATAATCAAGTTGAGGATATTTGAGTATCAAAACAACATCTTTTAACGAAAGTTTTGATGTGTGCTCTAATTTGATACCTTAGAGCCTCAACTCTATATAAACGTTTTCCTCCAAGTTAATTATGGGTGGGATTTGTTGAATCATACCCGTGACCATGGTCGGTGAAATCCAATTGGCTGAAATATACACGAATTGCTGTCCAAATTTTACAATGAGAATTCCCATTTTACTTAATTAGGGGCAATAATCAATAACTGGGCTCGGACTCGGGGCTTCCCCATCCATGTAATCGTGTGAGCCAAGACCAAAAAGTGCTATAAGATTGGAAAAAATATTAAATAAAATAAAATAATGATAACAATAATAATAATTTTATTATTAAAGAACAAACTAAACAATAATCAACGGCCAAAGTCTAAAAATGATTTTAAGAATATCTATAAAAGATAGAATTTGGATGGAATTAATTTATAGCCACGAAATTTAAAAAAAATCTAAAAACGAAAATAAACAATAGAGCATAGAAAAACTCCCAAATCATGATAAAAAATCAAATGTATATATAGGCATATTATCATTGCTTCGGTAAAAGTACAATTTTCTTTTTATGATTTTCCTGTGTTCTTATGTTTGTACGTACGACTCGGCTCGGTAAAGTATCGAGTTGGAGAAGTAGGCCAAGTGCAAGTAACTAGGCCGAGTTTTAAAACCTGTGCTAAAGCAAGTTTCGGTGGAAATTTGAAAGTTTCTAGTTCAATTCTCAGTGCAAATTACTTGGAATACATGAAATTTATTTTATTTTTTCTTTTCAGAATTGACTCCTTTAGTCCTTTTACAGGCCACCAAATAAACGTTTAATACATACCAACTCTAACCGGTCCTAAACAACTACACAACGACTTCAATGTGCACCATCTAAGAGGAATGCCTCTTTCTTTTCTATTTTGCAGTTTTGTGTTTGGAGAACTAAGATAGTAGTCTAAACCTTTTGCTTTTAGGAAAAAGGTTGGGGTCGTGATGGTAGCATTCTCTCACCCAGTTATCACATCGTGGTATCCATTCTTACTGTTAACATTCTCAATTAACACCTTCAAACTGTAATTTCCCAATCTATTGAAAAAACGGGTTGGGGTATATCTTCCCCACTGAAGTATGTCCCAACAAAAAAAAAAGAAAATGTAGGCATTAGGCAGGCAGTATGCCCCAAAAAAAAAAAAAAACGAAAAGAAAATGTAGGCACTAGGCAGGCAGTAGGGGACGAGGGTTCTCTAAGGATTGGGCTTGGGCTTGGGCTGGGCCATGCTCAGACCCATGAAATGTAATGAAAAAGCTTACAACTGTGTTTAAGTCACCACTAACCTAATGTTGGTTTAATGAATCTTATAGTTCACACATTGATGTGCAATGATAGGCCATCCACCATTCAATTAAAGTAACGAATGCTGCAAATCAGCCATTGTTTTCTGGCAAATTTAAAAGCCGAATCACAGCTCATCTCCGTTGTCCATCAATGGGATGGTTAATGAACGTCATATCGCGCTTTTTTCAAGTCGATGTTTTAAAAAAATAAAAGAGACACGGGAAAAAAGAGAAAAAAGTTGTATTAATAATAGGGAATACGTCCGTTAGATGATTTTAGATTCTAAATCATCAAAAGAAAAAAAATAAATAAATAAACATGGAGACCCATTCCCGATTCAAGGCCTGATCACCGTCCGACCACTACCCAGATAAGCAGTATTTAGAGCACTGCTCCAAACCGAATGAACGGAAATAAAATTAAATTGATAAATAAAATACATTTTTAAATATTTTTTTTAAAAAAAAGACTAATGCGATCTTGCAGAGGAATTTTTTTTTTTTCTTTTTTTTTTGCAGTCATTTTTTTTTTTCTTTTTCTTTTCTTTTGACAAAGATCACTTACAAATAATTTTATTACAATAATTCTTGTTTAAAAAAAAATTAAAACTAACAAATCTAACAATCTTGATACCAGTAAACCAATTTTCTTTAAACAAAACAAAATATCCACAATTTTTATGCTTGGGAATATAAAGGCAATATAATTAAATATGACAAGAAACAAAGAGAGTGTTGGAGATTATTTCAACCAGACTTATTACACCCCACACCGAATCACTACCATTCGATGGCGCGGGATCCTTCAATCTCAACCGGGAAATTAAGTTTAGGCCAAGCGACACCGACATAAAATGAACCGCTTCGATTATGTAAATTCAAATGAATTTCCTTAGCAACCTAGTTTGAGAGAGATGTATTATCTTTTTGCTAAATCCTAAAAGCCTTTGCCATAAATCCATAGTTGAGAGATAGAAAAGAGGAAAACTCCATAACCTAGAGAGATCAAAGATGAAAGAGTGGGACGTGCCCCTTTTTTTGACTTTCATGAGAGAGATAAATTGTTCTGAAGAGAGAAAAAAAAATTGAAAGTGGGATATACCAGAGAAAAATTGAATTAGGTACAACAGATAAAATAGAGATTTTTGGATAGAGACAATCAATTTTTATAGGCTTTGAACCAGATTAGGGGGGGTTTTCCTTTGTTGTCTCTTCTTGTGACATTGAATATGAACCACTATGTTCGGTGACTTATGGGTGAGAGATTTGAGCAGTCTATTCCATAAATGGATCCTTAAGATTATGGAAGATGGAAGGTGGATGAACCATTATCCCCATTTCCTAAACTATTTTCCTATCAATAGAAATTAGCAAAGTCTACTCAATCTTTTCACAAAATCTTTCAAAGATATATCAAGTAAATAATTATTCAATATCTTCCAACCACATTGCCACATACCATATCACCACAAAAATATGAAAGAGAAGAAGGGTGGGGCGTGCTACCCAAAGGCGGTACTCATGTGCCCCTATAAATACGGTGGGCACATGTACACAATGGGCCCCCATGATATTTTTATATATTTAAAATTAATAAAAAGATTTTAGAATGTTATTTGAATATTTAAACCATTATAAAATCAATATCTTTAATTTTATAAATAAAAAAATTATAAAATAAAATATCCAGGGGTTCATAAAAATTCAAATAATAATTCTAAAATAATTTCCATCATAAAAGAAACACAATTAAATTAATTTGATGAGAAAATGATCCATATGGTTTAGGAATTAAATCAACAATCATGGGGTACTCCACTTTCAACCGTGGACTACATACCACATTAGCTTTATCTGACCGATCCAGTATTTCCCATGACCCACAATCCAAGCAGGGGCTCATTAACAGGTCACCAAAGTCTGGCCGACGAACCAAGGGGTCGCAATCCCAGTCTGTGGATTTTAGGTCCTCCTCTAAAGACGAGTCAATGTCACATAGACTTGATGTGACTACAACTTATATGGTGTATATGAGTATCTCTCACATACGCATACAGTTCACCCTGAAAGGTGACTTACTTACTTTCTCGAATGATCTATTAATATGCATGCCGTGTGATGGCACATAGATGAAGTTTTGGCTCCCGTCTCTATAGGCCATCATCACACACAAGGGTCACACAGTCTCTCGGCTCACTCATTTGAGCATATGCCCCGACTTCATCAAGGGATGACTCATTAGAACCCTTCTCGGTTTGTTCTCTATCCCCAGGTAACATGGGTTTTTCCTAACTGATTGGCCTAGATCGTCAAGCACATTTTGGTATCAGCAAACATTATTTGTTTAGTATGGTCCACGAGGGACCACACTCCCACTGAATTTATGTTACACTATATTATTTTACAAGCACTCATAAGACTTTTAAAGACTACATAAACCCAATATTTTCGATATCCTAGTTATTCACATAACATAAGAAGTATATGAATAATTTTGTGTCCAGGATAAATCACTAGAAGCCTGCAAGGTCATCGGTTCTTCTCCCTTAGAAGTTGTTGACAAAACAAGAA